GGCACAGATAAGCAAGCAGTGCATGATCTCACTTACGGGCGGAACCAGAAAAAGAGTCAGCATCATAAAAATAGAAAGTAGAAGAGTGATTACCAGGAAGTGGGCCCAGGAAGAGACAGGGAGATGGAGGTCAGAGGATACAGAATTGCAGTTGTGTAGGAGAAGTCTAGAGCTCTAGAGTTTTCCAGAAGGAGGACTACAGGAAATAATATTATGGGAGGCTGAAGCAGGAGGATCACAAGTTCAAGGCAAGCCTCAGTAACTTAGTGAGGACCTGTCTTAAAATAAAAAAGGGTTGGGGATGTAGCTCAGTGGTGAAGCACCTCTGGGTTCAATCCTCAGTACAACACATCCATACACACACACAAGAAAGAAAGGAAATTTACTAAGAGAGATTTTCGGTGTTCTTAACACACACACACACACACACACACACATACACACACACTTACACAAAACCTGTGGAAAGTGATTATATATCAATTTGCTTACCTGAGTACTCATTTCCCACATGTATATGAAAATTCGAGGTTGTCCACCTGAAGTTACGTATAATAAAAAATAAATTTTCAAAAATCACGCAGCGAATAAGAGGTGCTTTCCTTCCTTGTTGGCAGAGTGTACAGAATGATTCGCAGGCCATTGCAGAAGTTCTCAACCAGCTTAAGGACATGCTTGCTAACTTCAGAGGTTCTGAGAAATATTGCTATTTACAGAATGAGGTGTTTGGACTATTCCAGAAACTGGAAAATATCAACGGTGTTTCAGATGGCTACTTAAATAGGTAGGCACAGCCAACACCAAAGGATGTTTTGCTTTTGCCCAGAGACAATCTTGAAGACTTCATTTGCTATGTGTGTGTGGTTCCTGGGGGCTTTGGCCTTACAGATCCTCTCATCACTAGAAGTTTCCTTAACTCTTCTCTGTGGTCTCTGGTTTGGGGAGGGCATCCTCTAGTCTAAGGAGTTAATTCTTTTCTGCAGTCTTAGAACTCTCCTCACATATCTCAGAATTAAGGTATAGGGGCCAGAATTTGGAATTCTTAATTAAATGTGAAACAGTGGTCAGAATTACAAGAGAGAAAAAGATCACCACTTCCATGGCTTATAAAATAGGCGAAGTGTATTGCATGGCCCTGATGTGGTTCTCCTTCATGAGTGGTGGCAGGAGCTCAATGCTTACCCTTTGATGATGTCACTGGGAGTTTTTTCTGCTTCTCTTGCTCTTTCCAGCTTGTGTGCAGTGAGAGCACTCCTGCAGGCTGTTCTCCAGACGGAAGACATGTTAAAGGTCTATGAAGCCAGGCTCACCGAAGAGGAAACGGTTTGCCTGGACCTGGATAAAGTGGAGGCCTACCGCTGTGGACTGAAGGTAATACCAGCCGCCCAGTTCATGGGAAGTGACAGGGGACCCAGCTCCCGATATACACCTCACCTAGTTTTCATGAGTGTTGTTTTGATTTTTTTTTTTTTATATTGGGATTGAACCCAGTGAACTCTATCACTGAGTTATACCCTCAACCTTTTGTTTGTTTGTTTGTTTTTAATTTTGAGACAAAGTCTTGCTAAGTTGCTGAGGCTGGCTTTAAATTTTCAGTCTTCCTCCCTCAGTCTCCTAAATCACTGGGATTACCTGCATGCACCACCAATCTGGCTTGTTTTCCTCTAACTTTCTGAAGTGCATTTTACTTTTAGAACAGTTCCAGATTTATGGAAAAAATTGACAAGACAGTATAGACAGTCATATATCCTGCCTCTAGTTTCTCCTGTTATTAGTATCTTAAAATTGTATGAAATATTTGTTATGACGATGAATCGATATTGATATATTAATATGAACTAAAGCTCATACTTTATTCAGACTTCCTCCATTTCATGAATTGTGAAGATTCCTGGCTTTCACTGGCCACACATGTTGATACCAGTTGTCACCTCCGGAACTCTGTTTCCCAGCGTGTATTAGCAGGAACTCTATGAGAAAGTAATTTGTGGTGGGATTAGTTTGGGGAATTGTGAGTCTAACTGATTTCTTTACTATGGAGCTCCTCGGAACCTTTAATATGTTCATAGGCATTATAATTATTCAGGAATAGTATGTCATGTTTAGCAGTTCTCTAGCACAGGGAACTAGATCACTGGAATAAATCCTGAGAAACAGAAATTCAGTAAATGTATTTCCCTGGGTTGATCATCACTAAAACATATGAATAAAGACTTCAGTAAACTTTCTCTTTTCTTTGCAGTGGTGAGAATTGACCCCAGGGTCTTATATATACCAACCCACTCTCCCACTAAGCTACATGCTGAACCCCCAAAACTTTTTTGTTGTTTGTTTTTATTTAGTGATTTGTGGTGTAGCATCGAGTGGGGAAAGAGCTAAATTTGTATGTGCTCATTTTTTTTTTCTTTTAAAAAAATCTCTTGCAGAAAATAAAAAATGACTTGAACTTGAAGAAGTCGTTGTTGGCCACCATGAAGACGGAACTGCAGAAAGCCCAGCAAATACACTCTCAGACCTCCCAGCAGTATCCGCTTTACGACCTGGATCTGGGCAAATTCAGTGAAAAAGTCACACAGCTGTCAGATCGCTGGCAAAAAATCGACAAACAGATAGACTACAGGTGTGCCAACCCCATCCCAGTTTCTCCTCTGCTGGTGGTGCCAGTGGATAATGCCACTTGAAGCATTTTATTTTTGCTACCAAAAATAATGCTTTGGTCTTGTGCACAAATGAAGCCCTAATAGGTGCTCTTCTCGAAACAGAGAGTAGATCCCAATAGCCTTCCAAGGACCTCAAGAAATAGCAGAAGTCATTGACAAGTTCTTTTAGGCCCTGTCAACTCATGTGATGGCCATTCGAAGGAGGAGTGGCTTTGAATGTATTTTTGTCCAAAAATTAAATTGTTTGCAAAGGGAAATGCCTTACTGCAGATGAGGGTCTAAAAACATCTACTGACAAAGGTCTACTGAATTGCCTTGCTTATTGTTTATTTTAAGTGCTTTTTAAAATCATCATGGAGCTATGACCCGTATACAATTCATTCATTTAAAAATACGATTCAGCAGATTTTAGTATATTCAGAGTTGTGCAAACACCACAACCTGATTTTGGGTGGTGGTGGTGCAGGGGATGGAACTCAGGGCCTTGCACGTGGTAGACAAGTGCTCTATCACTGAGCCACATCCCCAGCCTTACAACATGAGTGTGGAACATTTTCATTACTCCCCAGAGAAACCTGTATCCAGGGGCAGTCACCTCCCTTCTCTCCCAGTCCCCTAGTTCTAGACAATCACTGAGCTGCTTTCTGTCACTCTACATCTGCCCATTCTGGACACTTGGTATAAATGGCATCATACAATATATGGCCTTGGGCTTTTTTCACATATTGTAAATGCTTCCAAGGTTTATTCACATTGTACCAATTCTTCTTATTATTTTTTTTAATTTCTCTCTCTCTCTTTCCTTTTTTCATTTCTTTTTATGGTCAAATAGTATTCCATTGCTTGGCTATTCCACATGTTCTTTATCCTTTCGTCGTTTGACGGCTACTTGGGTTGTTCCCAGTTTGGGGATACCGTGGGAAGTGCTGTTGTGAATGTTCGTGCGGGCACGTGTTCACAGTGGAATTGCAGGTGGCTCAGTCTGTACCTATTTTAGGAATAATAACAGCGATCTTAATAATTTTGTTTCATCATCTATTTTTCCCAGATTGTGGGACCTTGAGAAACACATCAAACAACTAAGGAATTATCGTGATAACTATCAGAGTTTCTGCAAGTGGCTGCACGATGCCAAGCGCCGCCAGGATTCCTTGGAGTCCATGAAATTTTGCGACTCCAACACCGTCATGAGGTTTTTGAATGAGCAGAAGGTATAAGCCAATTTGTCATTCCATAGTTGTTTTGAGATTAATTGGGTGTAGGCTGTACTTTCTTCTGGTTTTCACAGCAGTACCTTCATTTGAAATGATATGTATTTCATATTATATATCCATTTTGCTTTAAAAAATGCCCCAGTGAATAGTGACTGAGGTATTTAGAAACTAGTGTCATTATGGATGCAGAAATAATGTAATATTGTTCTTTGCATGTTCTAGTAAAGTAGCTTTAAGTAACCTCTTATAAATAATGATGATGATGATGATGATGTAGTAACTTTTTTCCTGATCCTAAATGTAACTGAAAGCAAGAGGCCGGTATGTGTAGTTGTAAGTGAAAGAAAAAAAAAAAGAAAAGAAAAGAAACCAGTAACCATGGAAAAAAGAGTGAAAGAACATTTATTTTAAAACCTCTGGATGCTTTAACATTTGTAAAATTGTATTCTTTGAATAGAACTTGCACAATGAAATATCTGGAAAACGAGACAAATCAGAAGAAGTGCATAAGGTCGCTGAACTTTGTGCAAATTCCATTAAGGTATGTTGGTTTCATTAAGCATGTTGGTCTTGGGGCTGGGGTTGTGGCTCAGGGGCAGAGGGCTTGCCTAGCACATGTGATGCGTTGGGTTCGATCCTCAGCACCACATAAAAATAAATAAAATAAAGGTAGTATGTCCATCTTTAAAAAAAGGAATGTTGGTGTTTTGTCAAGATTCTTATTGCTGTGATATTTGCTTTAAAGATTATATAAACTTTTGAGCGTAGTGATTATGACTTCTCTGTTTTCTCTTCCTGAACAAACCGTAAAAGTTTGTTGTCTATTAACCTGAATTCATTGCACATTGGTGCTGTCTTTGGAACTGGCTAGTCTTTATTCTTGAGACTGGTGGCTTTGTGCAAATTCTCCAATTAACATGTAAAAATGTATGTGCTTCATTTAATAACATAATATTAGCTGCTTGGACCCTACAGCGCAACACAGTCTTTGGGGTGGGTGATCAGAAATAATTTGAGGATTTAAATGTGAAATTGTAGCTGTTAGTGACAACTCCTTTTGAGTCCATTAAGAATGGTTTTCTAAGGGTTGGGGTGTACTTGGGTAATAGAGCACTTGCCTAGCATGCTTGAGGCCCCGGGCTTGATCACAAGCATTGCCGAAAAAAAAAAAAAAGTTTTCTTAAACTTTTCTTCTGTAGGATTATGAACTCCAGCTGGCATCATATACCTCCGGCCTGGAAACTCTACTGAACATACCTATCAAGAGAACCATGGTTCAGTCCCCGTCTGGGGTGATTCTGCAAGAGGTACATGTGGTTACAGATCCCTGAGAGTCCACCCTTCCTTCTGTCTCCCATTTCCCTGTTTCTTGCCTGTTCATCCTGAAGTCATCCCTATTATAGGATATCCACTAAAAAAACCGTTTTAATAGCAGGTTATGCCCCCTTCACTGTGAGTCATCAATACATGACACATTTTAGGAAATGATCAGTGGAGTCTGAGTGTATCGTTTAATATGTTAGTCTTTACAGAAATTGGATTTAAATTTCTGGGTTTGGTGAAGGAGACTTCTAAAAAGTGGGCATTATATATAGGGGGAGTAAGTTTCTAAAAGACAACTTTTCCCCAAAGATTTTAGAGAATATCAACCATCAGATGGTTTAGGGGGAGAAAAATCCTAGAGCAACAAGAATGGAGTATAAATGTTTTGGACCCTTTGTCTTGCTGTTCTTCTAGATTTTGGAACAAGCATACATGAAAGAAAGGAATTTACTTTTTAAATTATGATGTCATGATTTCATTATCTTAGAAAGCAAAATTGATCAGCCTGCATAGAATGCATATAACTTTTTAAAATGATATATATAATGTTTTCTTTCTTTTCTTCCTTTTCTCTAAGGCTGCAGAGATTCATGCTCGGTACATAGAACTACTTACAAGGTCTGGAGACTATTATAGATTCTTAAGTGAGATGCTGAAGAGTTTGGAAGATCTGAAGGTATTGACTATTTCCTTGGATTATCAGAAAAATAAAATAGAGCCGGGCACAATGGTGCATGCCAGTAATCCCAGCTACTTGGGAGACTGAGGCAGGAGGATTGCAAATTTGAGACTAGCCTTTGCAATTTATCGAGATTCTATCTCAAAAATTAAAAGGTTTGGAGACGTAGCTCAGTAATGCAGCACCCTGGGTTCAATCCCAGTACCAGGAAAAATAGAAGAAAAGAAAATAGAATAGAATGGTATTATTACTACATCATTATTGTGAATTTAGAAACTGATAAAGCTGAAATTTCCAGTAAAAATTCAATGTAATACAGTTTGTGAGTTTGGGATTAGTCCTATGCTCCTCTAAATGGATTTAGATATTTGCAATATTGCAGCCACTTAATTTTGCTGGAAAAAAACAACAATAATTTATAGGTGTTTGGTCAAGGATTTTGCTTTATTTCTTTGTGTAAAATTTTGGGTAAGTACATCCTGGACTAGCTGGATTTGAATCTTTCATGTTGAATAATTACTCAATTGACTCCTCCTTTCTAATATTGGAATTGAGTTTATGGGGGAAATAAAAGGAACATCTGGCTGCAATCCCAGCAACTCAGGAGTCTGAGGCAGGACGATCACAATTCAAGGACAGCTTCAGCAACTTTTGTGAGATGTTTAGCAACTTAGCAAGACCCTGGTCTCAAAATAAGAAATAAAGGGATGGGGATATAGCTCAGCTGGTACAATGCTTGCCTCGCATGCACAGGGCCCTGGGTTCAATCCCCAGCACCACAAAAATAAATAAATAAATAAATAGGCTGAGGATGTCACTCAGTGGTAAAGCACTCTGGGTTCAACCCCTGGTACCAAAAAAACCAAAACTCAAAACCTCACAAACAAATAAAAAGGAGCATCTTGTATGAAATCATACACTTTTAATCTTGAAAGAAATGATTCTATTTTATAGATGAGGAAGCTGAGGCTCAAAGATGACCTGTCATTCTGACTTTATGCAAGAGGTTGATGGGAAAATTGGGAAGAGGCTCGAGATTTCTTGAGCTTTTGTCTAGTAGTTTTTGCCTCATCACTGTGAGTGTGTTGGTGGGTGTGTAAAGATCAAGACGAATGTACATCGGTCTGGGAGGGGAAACGTACTACTTCTGTCTCGTGGTGCCAGGTGCTTTTCTTGCAACCTCACTTTCTCCTTTCGTTTCCGCAGCTGAAAAACACCAAAATCGAAGTTTTGGAAGAGGAGCTCCGACTGGCCCGCGATGCCAACTCGGAAAACTGCAACAAGAACAAATTCCTGGATCAGAACCTGCAGAAATACCAGGCGGAGTGTTCCCAGTTCAAAGCGAAGCTCGTGAGCCTGGAGGAGCTGAAGAGACAAGCCGAGCTGGACGGGAAGTCGGCCAAGCAAAATCTGGACAAGTGCTACGCCCAGATCAAAGAGCTCAACGAGAAGATCACCCGGCTGACCTACGAGGTCGAAGACGAGAAGCGCCGGAGAAAGACGGTGGAGGACAGATTCGACCAACAGAAGAACGACTATGACCAGCTGCAGAAAGCCAGGCAGTGCGAAAAGGAGAGCCTCGGTTGGCAGAAACTAGAGTCTGAGAAAGCCATCAAGGAGAAGGAGTACGAGATAGAGAGGTTGAGGGTTCTTCTGCAGGAGGAGGGCGCCCGGAAGAGAGAATATGAAAATGAGCTGGCAAAGGTAAGAAACCACTATAATGAGGAGATGAGTAATTTAAGGAACAAGTATGAAACAGAGATTAACATTACGAAGACCACCATCAAGGAGATATCCATGCAGAAAGAGGATGACTCCAAAAATCTCAGAAACCAGCTGGACAGACTCTCGAGGGAGAACCGAGATCTGAAGGATGAGATCGTCAGGCTCAATGACAGCATCCTGCAGACCACCGAGCAGCGGAGGAGGGCGGAAGAGAATGTCCTTCAGCAGAAAGCCTGCGGCTCCGAGATCATGCAGAAGAAGCAGCAACTGGAGATGGAACTGAAGCAGGTCATCCAGCAGCGCTCGGAGGACAACGCCCGGCACAAGCAGTCGCTGGAAGAGGCGGCCAAGACCATTCAGGATAAAAATAAGGAGATCGAAAAGCTCAAAGCCGATTTTCAGGAAGAGGCCAAGCGCCGCCGGGAATATGAAAACGAACTGGGTAAGGTAAGGAACAGTTACGATGAGGAGATCATTAGCTTGAAAAACCAGTTCGAGACCGAGATCAATATCACCAAGACCACCATCCACCAGCTCACCATGCAGAAGGAAGAGGACACCAGTGGCTACCGGGCCCAGATAGACAATCTCACCAGAGAAAACAGGAGCTTATCCGAGGAGATAAAGAGGCTAAAGAACACCTTAGCCCAGACCACTGAGAGTCTCAGGAGGGTTGAAGAAAACGTCCAGCAGCAAAAGGCCACGGGCTCGGAGCTGTCTCAGAGGAAACAGCAGCTGGAGATCGAGCTGAGACAGGTCACTCAGATGCGAACGGAGGAGAGCATGAGATACAAGCAGTCCCTGGACGACGCTGCCAAGACCATCCAGGATAAAAACAAGGAGATAGAGAGGCTGAAACAACTGATAGAGAAAGAAACAAATGAAAGGAAATGTCTGGAAGACGAGAATGTGAAATTGCAAAGGGTCCAGTATGACCTGCAGAAGGCCAACAGTAGCGCGTCGGAGACCATAAGCAGATTGAAGGTTCAGGAGCAAGAGCTGACGCGCCTGAGAATCGACTACGAAAGGGTCTCCCAGGAGAGGACCCTGAAGGATCAGGATGTCACGCGGTTCCAGAGCTCCCTGAAGGATCTGCAGCTGCAGAAGCAGAAAGTGGAGGAGGAGCTCAATCGGCTCAAGAGGACGGCCTCCGAAGACTCTTCCAAGAGGAAGAAGTTGGAAGAAGAGCTGGAAGGCATGAGGCGGTCTTTGAAAGAGCAAGTCATCAAAATCACCAACCTGACCCAGCAGCTGGAGCAGGCGTCCATTGTCAAGAAAAGGAGCGAGGATGACCTCCGGCAGCAGAGGGACGTGTTGGAGGGCCACCTCAGGGAGAAGCAGAGGACCCAGGAGGAGCTGAGGAGGCTGTCCTCCGAGGTCGAGACCCTGAGGCGGCAGTTGCTCCAGGAGCAGGAAAATGTCAAGCAGGCTCAGGTGAGGAACGAGCATTTCCAGAAGGCCATAGAAGATAAGAGCAGAAGCCTAAACGAAAGCAAGATAGAAATCGAGAGGCTGCAGTCACTCACCGAGAACCTGACCAAGGAGCACCTGATGCTGGAGGAAGAACTGCGGAACCTGAGGCTGGAATACGATGAGCTGCGCAGGGGCCGCAGCGAGGCGGATAGCGATAAAAACGCCACCATCTCCGAGCTCAGGAGCCAGCTGCAGATCAGCAACAACCGAACCCTGGAACTGCAGGGGCTGATTAATGATTTACAGAGAGAGAGGGAAAATTTGAGACAGGAAATTGAGAAATTCCAAAAGCAGGCTTTAGAGGTATTCACAAATATTTGATCACAGCTTCACTGTTTCTCAAATGATTCACTCTACGGTCATCTCTCCTGAACTGTGCTCTTGCTACTGACGTGGATGCTTCTAGAATGTCTGATTTTTCTTTTGATGGCTTAACTGCTACCTGTCAAAAGTCCAGATAACTGCTTTAAGATAATTTCAATGCCCTTCCCCTTTCCTCCTGTAATTACATAATTTGTCAGTCTGTGTGGGGCCTATTTGGCCCAGCTCTTAAGAACTTGAGCATGGCCGGGCATGGTGGCGCATGCCTGTAATCCCAGCAGCTGGGGCGGCTGAGGCAGGAGGATTCAAGTTCAAAGCCAGCCTCAGCAAATTAGCGAGGGCCTAAGCATCTTGGAGAAATCCTGTCTCTAAATGAAATATTTCAAAAGGACTTGGGATGTGGCTCTGTGATTAAGCTCCCCTGAGTTAATTCCCAGTACCAAAAAAGAAAAAGAAAACTCGAGCATAAGAATAACATGTAAGATCACTTTCTCTGACTGTTCTCCTTTGCTTTCTAGAAAGTAGCTCTTGGCTGGGGTGGAGCTCAGCAGCAGAGCCTGTGCTTAGCATGCATGAGGTTCAATCCCTAGCACCAAAAAATTAAAATAAATAAATAACCAAAATTTAAAATGAATAAATAAGTAAGATAGTGAGCTGGGATGTACATTTTAAATTTGAACTTTTCTCAAATCCACATTAAAGCATTTTTCTGTGCGATTTTTAAAATCACCTTTCCTTGCTTGCTTAGATGATTTTTCTGCATGCATTCTTCTGCTCTCTTCTGTGCCTCACTTTTTTTTTAATTGGTGCATGATGTTCCGTTCTCTTTTGATCATGATCCTTGTGTTTCTTTCTGTTTGTCCTTTCTTCTTTTAACCTCTAATTTAAAGATAACTTCTTTGACCTCCACAGACAATATTTGTGTGGGATTGGGTGTGTGGGGGGGTGTATATCTGTATGTTGCTATTGCTTTCTTAAACATGTTAACCTAGCTGTAACAGGTGACAAGTAGGCATAGCAGGGATGATAACCTGGATCAAAACTCCCCATAGGTTTTTGAACCATAATTATTTTTAAGAGTAAGGTCTACAACTTCTAGTTCCTTCTATGGGAAAAAAAAGGAAAATAAACAGTAAGTACGAAGCCATTTATCAGAGTGGCAAGATATATTTACAGAACTTTTCCATGAATTTATAAGATTGTGAGTTAAGAGTATATCCAGAGAAAGCATAGAAAGGAAAAATAAGTAAACAAGTTAAAAAAGATACAGGAAGTGAAGTGAAATGACGATGGTCCCATGATATGATCAAAATGTTATTTTTCTCCCTTTTCTTTTTTTAATTCTAGGCATCTAACAGGATTCAGGAATCCAAGAGTCAGTGCACTCAGGTGGTGCAGGAAAGAGAGAGCCTTCTGGTGAAAATCAAAGTCCTGGAGCAAGACAAGGCGAGGCTGCAGAGGTTGGAGGACGAGCTGAATCGTCTGAAATCGTCCCTAGAGGCCGAGAGCAGGGTGAAGCAGCGCCTGGAGAGCGAGAAACAGCAGATCCAGAATGACTTGAACCAGTGGAAAACCCAGTACTCCCGCAAGGAGGAGGCGATTCGGAAGATAGAGGCAGAAAGAGAAAAGAGCGAGAGGGAGAAGAACAGCCTTAGGAGTGAGATCGAAAGACTCCAGGCAGAGATCAAGAGGATTGAAGAGAGGTGCCGGCGGAAGCTGGAGGATTCTTCCAGGGAGACTCAGTCCCAGCTGGAGACAGAGCGCTGCAGGCTTCAGAGAGAGATCGACAAACTCCGACAGCGCCCCTACGGGTCCCACCGGGAGACACAGACCGAGTATGAGTGGACCGTCGACTCCTCCAAGCTGGTGTTTGACGGCCTCAGGAAGAAGGTGACGGCCATGCAGCTGTACGAGTGCCAGCTGATTGACAAAGCAACCTTGGACAAACTGTTGAAGGGCAAGAAGTCGGTGGAAGAAGTCGCTTCTGAAATCCAGCCTTTCCTCCGGGGTGCCGGAGCTATCGCAGGAGCGTCTGCTTCTCCTAAGGAAAAATACTCTTTGGTAGAGGCCAAGAGAAAGAAGCTAATCACCCCGGAATCTACTGTCATGCTTCTGGAGGCCCAGGCGGCCACGGGTGGCATCATTGATCCCCATCGGAATGAGAAGCTGACCGTGGACAATGCCATCGCTCGGGACCTGATCGATTTCGATGACCGCCAGCAGATCTATACGGCCGAAAAAGCCATCACTGGTTTTGATGATCCATTTTCAGGCAAGACGGTGTCTGTTTCAGAAGCCATCAAGAAGAATTTGATCGACAGAGAAACGGGGATGCGTCTGCTGGAAGCCCAGATCGCTTCAGGGGGTGTAGTCGACCCCGTGAATAGTGTCTTTTTGCCAAAGGATGTCGCCTTGGCCCGTGGGCTGATTGACAGAGATTTGTATCGGTCCCTGAATGACCCCCGAGATAGTCAGAAGAATTTCGTGGATCCGGTTACCAAAAAGAAGGTCAGTTACATGCAACTGAGGGAAAGGTGCAGAATCGAACCCCACACCGGTCTGCTCTTGCTGACGGTACAGAAGAGAAGCATGTCCTTCCAGGGAATCAGACAGCCCGTGACAGTCACCGAATTAGTCGATTCTGGTATATTGAGACCATCCACTGTCAATGAACTGGAATCAGGTCAGATTTCTTATGATGAGGTTGGTGAGAGGATTAAGGACTTCCTCCAGGGTTCCAGCTGCATAGCAGGAATATACAACGAGACCACAAAACAGAAGCTTGGCATTTACGAGGCCATGAAAATCGGCTTGGTGCGACCTGGTACTGCTCTGGAGTTGCTGGAAGCCCAAGCTGCCACCGGCTTTATCGTGGATCCTGTTAGCAACTTGAGGTTACCTGTGGAGGAAGCCTACAAAAGAGGTCTGGTGGGCATAGAGTTCAAAGAGAAGCTCCTGTCTGCAGAAAGAGCCGTCACTGGTTATAATGACCCTGAAACTGGAAACATCATCTCTCTGTTCCAAGCCATGAACAAGGAACTCATCGAAAAGGGCCATGGCATCCGCTTACTGGAAGCCCAGATTGCCACTGGAGGGATCATTGATCCGAAGGAGAGCCATCGTTTACCCGTTGACATGGCGTACAAGAGGGGCTACTTTAATGAGGAGCTCAGTGAGATTCTTTCAGATCCAAGTGATGACACCAAAGGATTCTTTGATCCCAACACTGAAGAAAACCTTACCTATCTGCAACTCAAAGAAAGATGCATTAAGGATGAAGAGACGGGGCTCTGTCTTCTGCCCCTGAAAGAAAAGAAGAAACAGGTGCAGACCTCACAAAAGAATACCCTCAGGAAGCGCAGAGTGGTCATAGTTGACCCAGAAACCAATAAGGAGATGTCTGTCCAGGAGGCCTACAAGAAGGGCCTGATCGATTATGAAACCTTCAAAGAACTGTGTGAGCAGGAATGTGAGTGGGAAGAAATAACCATCACGGGATCAGATGGCTCCACCAGGGTGGTCCTGGTGGACAGGAAGACAGGCAGTCAGTATGACATTCAGGATGCTATTGACAAGGGTCTTGTCGACAGGAAGTTCTTTGATCAGTACAGATCCGGCAGCCTGAGCCTGACCCAGTTTGCTGACATGATCTCCTTGAAAAATGGCATCGGCATCGGCAACGGCAGCGGCATGTCCACCAGTGTCAACGATGATGTTTTTAGCAGCTCCCGACATGAATCGGTGAGTAAGATTTCCACCATCTCCAGCGTCAGGAATCTAACCATCAGGAGCAGCTCTTTTTCCGACTCCCTGGAAGAATCCAGCCCCATTGCGGCCATCTTTGACACAGAAAACCTGGAGAAGATCTCCATCATAGAAGGTATAGAGCGAGGCATCGTTGACAGCATCACCGGGCAGAGGCTTCTGGAGGCTCAGGCCTGCACTGGGGGCATCATCCACCCGACCACCGGCCAGAAGCTGTCTCTTCAGGATGCCGTCTCCCAGGGTCTAATTGACCAAGATATGGCCACCCGGCTGAAGCCTGCCCAGAAGGCCTTCATTGGCTTTGAAGGTGTGAAGGGGAAGAAGAAGATGTCGGCAGCAGAAGCAGTGAAAGAAAAATGGCTCCCCTATGAGGCAGGCCAGCGCTTCCTGGAGTTCCAGTACCTCACGGGTGGCCTTGTTGACCCAGAGGTGCATGGAAGGATAAGCACAGAAGAAGCCATCAGAAAGGGGTTCATCGACGGCCGAGCGGCTCAGAGGCTGCAAGACACCAGCAGCTACGCCAAAATCCTGACCTGCCCCAAAACCAAGTTAAAAATATCCTATAAGGATGCCATGAATCGCTCCATGGTAGAGGATATCACAGGGTTACGCCTTCTGGAAGCTGCCTCCGTGTCGTCCAAGGGCTTACCCAGCCCTTATAACATGTCCTCAGCCCCAGGCTCCCGCTCTGGCTCCCGCAGTGGGTCCCGCTCTGGCTCCCGCAGTGGCTCCCGCAGTGGCTCCCGGAGGGGAAGCTTTGATGCCACAGGAAATTCTTCCTACTCTTATTCCTACACATTTAGCAGTAGCTCCATTGGGCACTAGTGGTCAGTGGGAAATGGTTGCTCTACCTTGGATCCATTTAAATGAATGTCTATTTTATTAAGTAACAAACAAAAAAATAATAATAAAAAGAAAGAAAGAAAAAAGAAGACTGGGTGCTTGCAGTATAGCGATAGAACTTTCTATGCTTTAAGATAGCCATGGTTGAAATCAAGTAATAAAGGCTGTTCTGGTTTCTTATCTTTTGAGTTCTTCTTAACTAATGTAGTACACTTCAATGGTAGTGTATATGGAGTGGTGATCACTTGTAAGGATAGCACAAATTGAAGTTAACATTTGTTCCTTCTCTTCTGTGTTTAGCTTTTTGATCAGTTCTTGAATTTTTTTTTTTTTTTTTTTGGCCTCTAAGGCAGATTTATATTCTTGGAGACAATACTTAAATTCATCTCTGATGTGCTAATTATCATTCTGTTTCTCCTCTACATAGTTCCATTTTCTGTATTAGGAGAAAATTACTCCCACTCCCACCGTACCCCACCCACCCACCCACCCCAAGCATTTTGGAGTGAGTTTCCTTTAGTTTAAGAATGTGGATTTTGTAACCCATATACCCTTTATTGCACCTGTTTGGTTTGGTATTACTTTGACTATGTGCATGATAGCAGCCATCTTTGCTTTTCTTTGGTCGGAGTTTCCTGTTTATTTTGCTGGTCATTTTCTATGTACTTTTAAAAGGTGTCTCTATGAAGTTTGCTGATCTGGCAATAAACATTTAGACTATGGAAGTTTTGTGTGTTGATTTCATAGTACGTTCAATAGTATGTACACAGAAGGACATTTAGCAGCAGCGTTGTATTTATCATAAAACAGGACTAACTTGATTGTTTACTAAATAACCTAATAGAAGAAGGACATTAAAATTGTATATCTCTTTGCAATTCTTGTTAGAAAGTGATCTTCTGAAGATAGTTCTTTCCACACTTTTCTACCAGCTGTGTATCAGGTAGAATCTTTGGAAGGAAGCCAGTGGAAATAGGTCACTTCAAAAGTTAAAAACCTGCCCTGGCTTATTCTGGACAGTGGGTACCAAGAAGCATTGGCAAAAGTCACTGTCATAAAAATGAAAAATCACTAAGTGGCTAAGATGACTTTTGGGGATAACTTCAAAACACATAGTGTTTCCCAGCAGCTTGGGAGGCTGAGGCAGGAGGATCACAAGTTCAAAGCCAGCCTCAGCAATTTAGTGAGGCCCTAAGCAACTTAGTGAGTCCCTGTCTCAAAAACAAAACAAACAAAAACCAAAACAAAACGGGGGGGTTGGGGATGTGGGTAAGTGGTTGAGCACTCCTGGGTTCAATCTCAAGTAACAACACAAAACAAAAGACAAGTGTTTTATTTTGTTCCCCAAGAGGAAAGAATTGTCCCTGAATCTATGAAAATGATTCCTGAAGAGTTCTAGGCCTTTGGTTGAAGTACCATGAAATAAAGGTGTATTCCTTTGGATCAAGAAGAAACTATCTATGATCCAGCATTTGTCATTAAATTAATATGACTTGACTTAATACCCATGTCTGGTGCTGTGAAGATTCAGTAGAATTTACAAGTCCTCCGACTACAAGGCATTTGCAGTCTGGGTGGGGACAGGAGACACACAAAACAATCGGTGGCAAAACTTTTAAATGTCAGCAATGTATATCAGTAAAATTAAACAAACCTCGTAATACAGATAGAAAATAGGGAGCAAATGAGGTTCTAAAATTGGAGAATGATAAAAATCATTAAAGTCAGCTCCACTTAAGTTATTGGGGCTTTTGGTACTTAGAGTGAAATTATTTCCATTCTCAACAAATGGACTGTTTTTCCTTCACATCTTTCATTTCTTTTTATTTTACTTTTCTTTTTCCTCCCCTTAATCTCCTCTCCAAATTTGGAGGAATTGAAATGAATTTTATTCACTGGATATTGAGTTCTGTGTACCCTGAATGGTGCCAGAAGCCATGGGTCCCATGCTAGGAACAGATGGTACAAAAACAGCCCTTGTCATCTAACAGGAAAAAGAGCAAATGCTGTGGGGTGTGGAAGAGGAAATTCCTTATGCTAGAGCTAGGAGTCTCTCTTAGTCACTTCAGGCTGTCATAACAAGGTACTGCAGATTGAGTGGCTTAACCAACTATATTTTCTTATAATTCTGGAGGCCGGAAATCCAAGTTCAGGTGTTGTCAGGGTTGGTTTCTCATGAGACCTCTTCTCCTGGCTTGTGCATGGTCACCTCCTTGATGTGTGGTCACATGGATTTTTCTTTATGCACATGTGGAGAGAGGACTGGGCGGGGGGAGAGGTAGGAGAGGGAGAGCTCTGGTATCTCTTCTTTATTAGATTAGGGGCTCATCTTGACCTCGTTTACCTCCTGAAAGTCCCTATCTCCATATATACAGTCATATTGTGAATTAGGGCTTCAATAGATGATTTTGGCGAGGAGGACCCAATTTAGTCCATAACAAGCCTATCCCAGAACAGGTCTAGAGACCTCTCCAGGAAAGTGATTAAATGGCTTAACAGCATCAATGTACAGTGATTCCCCAGGTTAACACAGTAACTACAGAGGAATACAGACAGCTGACAAATCTTCCCCACTCCCTCCAAGCTGCTGTCAGCTGTCACTAAGCTTTGAGATAAAACCGATAGTGCCCTCAAAAGAGGAAATACCTGACCTGGGCTGTTTTGACTTGTTTCACATACACAGTACATCCACTTTCGATAGAATCATCACGGCACACCCAAAATTAGTGTACACATTTCCCAGATCATTTGGCTAACTATGGTAATGCAAATAAAAAGTAAAGATGGTGTGGGCAGAGTATGAAAAAATTACTTCTAGAACTTAACTCTTATTCCACATCTGCTTATAGCTACTGGCCTACTGCATTTTATGGTGCTATCTATAATATTATTACCACTTTTTAAAATGTCAGAACTATGTTATTTGTCTTTGGAAATAATAATTGTTCAAAAGTTTTCTTCATCATTCCTTTATCAAAGGTAAACAGTGCAAAGGGAAGCATAGATTTGACAATCAGGCTTGAAAAAAATAAAAATGTAAAAATATTAGGTTCTGGATGTTAAAACCATGTAGGAAAACTAAAAGCTGATTCCAGATCTTGAGAAGTAAAAATACAAAACATGAGCAATCAAAACAAAGCACCCAGGCTAAAGGGGATATGTCAAAGATGCATAAGGGGTGGCTTAATGTGGTTTCCACTGGCCAAATTTAGGACAATTTGAGTATCAACAAGAATTTTTTGATGATAGAGTATATAACACTAAATTTGAAAACCTTAAACACTAAATTTGAAATCCCTTGATTCCATGGTGAAATAAACCACAAAATGGAAGTGTAGAAAGAATGCAGCCTAATAAATGTAGAGGGCATGATGCTGTAAGGGAATTATCATTTATAATATGTAGCAACAGATTCAATGAAGGATTATACAAGGTAGTTGGGGAACATGATATTTTTATGGTCTCAAGATATGTCTCTCCTCCCTCCTCCTCCTCCTTCCTCCCCCCTCTTCCTCCCCCTCTTCCTCTTCCCTCCTCCTCCTCCCTCCTCTCTCCTCCATTGACCACAGACTACTTTGCCATTACCAAGAGGAAAAAGCACCATCAGAATGGAAAGATTTAGCCTGTAATTCCAGCAACTAGGGAGGCTGAGGCAAGATGATTGAAAGTTCAAAGCCAGCCTCAGCAACTTATTAAGGCTCTAAACAACTTAGCAAGACCCTGTCTCAAAATAAAAAGGGCTGGGGACATATTCAGTGGAAAAGTGCACACACACACACACACACACAATTAGCCACCACCTTTATTAAGTAGTCAAATTTAACTTTACTAATAAGAGAATCTAAGTAAGTATATGTCCCCATGGGATGTAGTAAAAGGTATACATGTCCTATATAGTGTTCTTGCAAAAATGCTTCAACTAACACATAGGGGGGTGTGGAGGGAGGGCAGATTTGACAAATCCAGAATGAGGGATATCCTGTAGGACAACCGGCCCAGGCTCATCACAAAATTCAATGTCGTAATTTAAAAAGGAGCTCACTGGGTTGAAATAATGAAACTGCTATAAAGGAATTTGGGGGACGGACCACTGGGGAAATTTAAGCTATGCATAGAAATACTTTATGAAATTAATTTTCTCAGATTCGGTCATGCATTAGATTATAAGGAAAATGTTCTGAGAACATGCATACTAACATTTTTTTTTGGCGGGGGGGAGAAAAATCTGCAACTGACTTTCAAAGAAATGAGCAAAAAATAAGTGTGTGGGGCTTGGAGTGTGGAGAAACGAGACCTAGAGAAATCAAACGTGGCAGACTGTTAACAGTTAATGAGCTGGAGGAATATGATATTAACACTCCTTGTACTATTTAAACTTTTCTGTCGATTTAAGTATTTTTTTTTTCCTAAAAAAGTTAAAGAGGAGCAATGCTATTGAGGGAAAGCCAGAGGCATACGCATCCAGGCGCAGGGAAAAGGCAGTCTTTCCAAGTGACAGATCCCGCCCTCCCTGGGGCGCTTCTCTATAGGCCATTTGAGTCACGTGGGGCATAGCCCCGCCCACTGTTCCCAGAGGCCCGCGCGCGCGGCGGACTATTCGGTCACTTCCTCCTTGCGGGTGGGCCACGCCATGGAGGACGAACCTCCTCCCCTGGAGGAGAGACGGAGGCTGCAGGAGGAGCTGAGCGAGTTTGTGGAGAGCTGCTGCAGGACGCTGGAGGAGGTGACGGCGTCCCTGGGCTGGAGCCTTGATCAGCTGGACCCCGGGGAAGAGAAGGCGGCGGAGGTGAGGGGCGCGGTCGCCGGGCCTTTCCGGGGACTGTCCGCCCGCGCGGTCCGCTCTGGCCGTGGGAGATAACGCGCAGGGTGCTGCGAAGGGAAGGGCGTAGGAGGCCCCTTGGTTTGCAGATCCGTAGGGGGCGCCCAGGCGCCGGAGCTGTCCTGACGCCCCCGGGTGCCGGGCTGGGGCGCACCATGGCCGCCTGAGCCCTCCATTGCGCCCCCCGCTGCGGCTCCTCTCCAGCCTAACTGTGGGTTGAAGGAGGGAAATGCACATCTCGCGCTTAGGAAATGATCCGATGGGCCTCAGTGATGCCTGCGGAGGTTTGGAGATTTGCTTTGTCATCTGTCATAGGATTCTGCAGTTGCACCAGATTTGGTGTCAGAAGAGCTAGAAGTTCACCTGTTCACCTTTTTCTCCCTTAAAACTGGACCCTTCTGTTTGGAACAGCATCGGTTCTGGGATTATTAAAGGATGTCACTAAGAAATGATAACTAGCAAACTCACTTGAATGGTAGAATTGGTTTTTTAAATGTAGGCAGCTTTGTTTTGTCTTTGTTTTTGGTGAATTAGAATGAAGGGTTGTGGTCTATAGTGGAGGAATTTCTGGGTTTACTATGTTGTAATGATTTCTCTTGGGGGGGGGGGGTTAAGTCACATGTCTGATTCCCCAGAAGCATTTAAAGTATATTTGATTTATATATAAACTAGTCACTGTTTATTGTGTTAAAAACGCAGTGGAAGTATTTTAAACTTCATTGTTCCTGTGGAGAGATATTTGAAACCATCAAGTGGGGTCTGCCAAAGCTTTCTATACCATTGTTTACTCAGCAGTGCAGTAAAATTGAGTTCCTTATGTTAATACTTAAATAGCACTTTGTATATGCTATTTATTATATAATTACCTTGTTTAATAATCATAAATGTTCATTGGTAACATTTTATAAATGAGGAACAGAGGTGGTAATTTGTTCAAGGATACATTGGTACAAAACAACAGTTAGGATTTGAACTCAGGCTTTTTGACTCCTGAAGTGTGTATTCTTAATTGTTATGTTGTATTTTTAAAACTTCTTTGTAAAATTCCCATATTCTGACAGTAAGCTGTGGGTGTGCATTTAACTTTTGCAAATCCACTATCTGTTATTCAAGAGAGTAACTCCTAGAATAGATGCATTCCGGATACTTAAGCTCTACTTTTCTGTGGTGTTTTAACACTGCGGTTCAGTGAACAACACTGACACTTATTTGGTGGTGGTGAGGAGGAATACGGAGAAATCAGTTATTGCATTATGATGTAATTGCTATAGTACAGGTTATTTGGGGGCTGCAGTGGGTCAGCAAAGGTTTCCTGAACAAAGCAAACTCTAAGCTGATAAATAAAACGAGCAGAATTAGCTTAGGTGAAGCACAGAGGAAGTATGACCAGCATGTGTAGAAGTTCAGAAGATGTAGTACCACTTAATCAAGTAGTAAATATTTAATGATATTATTGTTTAAAAATATTATGTGCCTTTTTCTTCATTTGCTTTTTATAGGATGAAGTTGTGATATGTCCTTATGATTTCAATCATCACATGCCAAAATCATCTTTAGCAAAGCACATGGAATCTTGTAGATTGAGGAAACTGGGTTATACCAAGGAAGAAGAGGTACCAATATATTTAGTCATTTCTCTCTCTCTTTCTCATACACACACACATAATGTAAATTGTGCATTAATAAATTCATAGTATTTAGAAGGTATATAAAATATCAGCCCTTATTTGCCTATTTGTGGATAGGAAGATCACAAATTATTGTGAGAAATATTTAAATGGTACTATAAGTTTTTGTCAAATCTTAATCAATTATCTGATCCTCAAGAACACTAAGTTTTTTGTTTTTTACTATTTAGGATGAAATGTATAATCCTGATTTTTTCTATGAGAATCTGAAAATTCCTTCAATTACTTTGAGTAAGTATTAAATTATTAGATGATAATTTAAAAAATCTAGTTATTAATTTTTCATTTTTGAATTATCAAAAGGATGAATTTTATGAACATGCTTATGATTGAGAAGGACATTTAATAAATTAAGAGAATGTAGAATTGATCAGGGGTGGTGCTGCACACTTATAATACCAGCTACTTAGGAGATTGAGGCAGGAGGATTGAAAGTTCAAGGCTAACCTGGGCCGCTTAATGAGATACCCTTCTCAGAATAAAAATAAAGGGGCTAAAGATGGCTTCGTGGTAGAGTGCCCCTGGGTTTAATCCCCAGTAACTAATATACATTAGTTAAACAGCGAAACATTCATGTAATCTAAAATTTAAAGATCAGGCTTATGTTAATCGGCAGTGAAAAACTCTGAAAAACTTTATACAGTGGCATAGATCTTCCTTGGTTATAACAAAAATCTAAGTACACAACACAAATTGAAAAGAGTGAAAATGGAAATGTCTCCCAGGTACTCATAGCATATGTAAAGTCTTGGACTCAAGATAAATAGAATGCTCTGATTCAACTCTTGGTTTTGTCACTAATTTATGTGTGTCTTTTAGTAAGGTAATTCACTCGTCTGTTTTCTAAATTTCTTTATAAATCAGGGATGATGACAAAAGCACTTTGAGGATTAAATTATATGTGAATATAGTAAAAATAGTACCTGGCACTTAACTGAGCTTCAAAAAGTGTTAGATATCATTGGGTGCTCAAACTTGTAGCTGCTATTCCTGTATGCCTGATTATAGTGTTTTCTAAATTGCTTGAAGTCTGGTCACTTCCTGGCCCCTAGAAAGATCTGAAAGAATTCTGTATTCAGATTATGGAGGCAGTAATATGGATGTTTCATCCATTATGATTCTGGAAGGTTTGTCAGTATGCCCAAAGTACTTAGACTAGAAACCAGGTAATCACTTAATTGTGAACACTGATGATTTGTAATGTGTGGATTTTCTTTTTTTTGGACAGATAAGGACTCACAATTCCAGATAATTAAACAAGCTAGAAATGCAGTTGGAAAAGATGGTGATTGTTACAATCAAAGTAAGTGACCTCACAGTTTGAGCTAACTAATGGATCAAATTATTTTTCTCTCACAAGCACATTACTAATTTTCTTCATGAAAAGCCTTGTGAAATAGTTACGTGGAAAAGGTTAAGTTTTACATTTAATGTTCAGCTAATCTGCTTTGTTTCAATATCATTTATTACATATTTCCCATTTACTTAATAGGTGAGATTACCTTATGGATAATTTTTTTTTAAAGTCATTATTTAGTAAATAAATTCTATTGGGTTTTGCCCTTATTTTTATGGCCCCTGAGAGTTCCTCATTTGAGACTGTTAAAATGTTGTATAAAGGGAAAGTCTTAGGCTAAAAGAGATTAGCCTCCACATACAGCTGCCCTTAGCATTACCCTGTTAAGTATAATTTTATAGTCTTTTTAGATCTTGGACTCCTTTGAAATGGTGAGTGCTAGGGATCCCCTCCTCAGAAAAAAGCACCAACAATGTTTTACATGTAATCTTGGAGGTTTTGTGTATCTTTTCATGCCAGCTTTGGAGTTGGATTAAAGAGTTTCTGCCTAGGACTTTAATAGATACAAGACTAAAATTTTAAGCCTACATTTTTAGGAAATCAAAGAAAATTTTATCTATCAGAAGTAAAGCTAACAAAGAATTTAGATTTTTGGACTGAGGTATGTGAACATCTAACCAAAGGATGACTGGTTTCTCTTCTAAGGATTTCTAAGCTGTCTTTGAACATCCTCTAGATTACTTGCTCTGTGTTTTTCTTCTTTCTTACCAGGCCATAGTCTTGGTTGAAGTTGAAGTTCAGGGTGTCTACCAAACATTGTGCTCTGAGTTGCACTGTAGCTTCAGGAGGGAGACCATCTTGCCCTTAGCCTATTTATCTTAAATTAGTTCCTGCCAACAGCCAGAAACATATTTTTAAAAAATTCATGCTTTGAATATCCTACTTTCATGTCTGTAAGCTTAATTCCAGGTTTTTTTTTTTTTTTTTTTTTTTTTAAACCTTTGAGAGAGACATTTGACTCTCATCTTACTTGGACAGCTTACTACTGAGCTATGACCATCAAACCTTTCTTGGCCTCTGTTGTTGATTCTACCTGCAGTCCTTGCTTAGTTAATAGACCAATGAGAAAGCATAGGTTTTTTTTTTTTTTTTTTAAGGGGGGGTTAACTTTTAAAAGATTTTATATGACTCTTAACTGGTTAATAGGTTTATTGAATTTATTTTAGAGTGGAAAGATCACTTGGTGTTCATCTACCCCAGTGTTTGCATGTTATAGATAGGAAACAAACTCTTTCTAAAGGTCTTCAATACCAATTATGGAAGAATATCACAAACTTCAAATTAATATACTCATAACAGTGCTTTTCACTATTTATTCTATTTTGTGAAAGCCTAGTTTAAAGAATTTAAGCTAACTGCTTAGTGTTATACAAATGACAACTTCTTTTGAATTTTTAAATTTCTTATCTATAGTATAAAATTATAGGTTCGTTTAGAGGGACAGAGATGATAAATGCTAAACTAGCCCTAGTTAAAATCATTGGTAGCTGTTATTTTCTAAGTGAAAATTAATGTAGAGAAAGCAATATTAGTATAATGAAATGGATGAATAATTTATAAAATGTCCCATGTTTATTAAATTTAAATAACTGGATAGTAAGACAGATTTAGTAGACATTGTGTTTAGTTAAATCACAAAAGCGAAGAATTACTTTGAATTTTTTCATTACATAATTAAGAACTTTCAGTTGTTTGAACTCCTTCTATTTATTTATTGCAATTGCTTTTGATGGTTTGGGGGTTTGAACCTAGGGGCACTCTACCACTGAGCTATATACCCCCAGCCCTTTTTATGTTTTTGTTTTGAGGCAGGGTTTTGCTGAGTTGCTTAAGCTGACCGCAAACTTGTAATCCTCCTGTCTCAGCCTCCAAAATTACTGGGATTATAGGGGTGAAGCACCTTACCTGGCCTCTTACACTATGTTAAATTAAGATTTTTTTTTATTAGAAGAACTATTTTTATATGATCTGTAACCCTGTTTTTTTTTTAAATAATTTTTTTTTAATATTTATTTTTCAGTTTTCGGTGGACACAGTATCTTTATATTTATTATTTTTATGTGGTGCTGAGGATCGAACCCAGCGCCCCGCGCATGCCAGGTGATCATGTTACCGCTTGAGCCACATCCCTAGCCCCTGTTTTTAAACCTTTTTTTAATATCCTGTGTTTTGTTTTATAATTTCTCAACACATTATTTTTGTGGCCCACTGACGTCTTAGATATTTTAAAACCTTTTTCCACAAGACAAAAAAAAGTCCTGAAATATCTTCTTACTGATTTATATACTTTGAAGAGAGAATGACTAACATGAAACATTTTGCACTTCCCTATGTAAATATTATTTTATTTTAATATACACTAAACTAAGTTTTTTGCAAGGTTGCACCTGTACTTTCATTTCTCTGGTTATGTCAGGCTTGAACTCAGGATACAGAATTTTTAATCCGTTAACCTTTGTGCAAGCTTGAACAGGCTTTAGATCTGCATACTTACTTTCAGATGTAATTATAGTGGTTAATTTTATAACCAAGATATCAATTTCAGTCATAAATAATATTTCTATATTTAGTTCTTCACTTTTTTCTATAATATTAAATGTTGAAATTGCTATACTTCATGAAGTGCGAGAATGACCGTGATTCAAAGATCGGTGTGTAAAAGAACCTTAAAGAGACAAGATAGAATGGCTTTAGACTAGATCTTTTCCAGCTGTGACACTTTGGGCAAGTCATTTGACTTCTGTGGGCCTTAATTTTTTTTATCTTTATTGTTAGGGAATTGTTTTTGTAAAATTCCAAGTTTGTAATGTTGAAGCAATATCTCTTACTAATATTTAATGTCATATATTTAAGATGCCCTGTGATGGCAAAAGTATTTAACAAGGAAGAATGAGAATAGAGTTACATAAGAAGTAGAGTTTCATTTTATGATGAAAAAGATAGAGTTGATGGTTGCACAAAAGTGTGATTGTACCTTGTGTCTCTGAAATGTATACTTGAAAATGGTTAAAAGGGGAATTTTATGTTATTTTATCACATTTTTAAAAAACTACAAAAAAAGAATTATGACAATTACAAATCATAATGAAGCTTAACATTTTGAAAATTACATTTTATGTACATGCCAAGAGTATATAAGTGTTTATTCTTTTTTCTTTTGTCACAAATATATCTGTGTTCTAAAAGATTTGAATGCAGTTTGTTGCTTAACTTTTCCTGTACTTTTTCTTTTTCAGTAATTGGGGTGAGTATAAAGAGGAATTAGAAACCTGAATATACTCCTTATTTAAAGATATGCAGTATCCTTTTTGCAAATGATATCCTTTTAAAAGTATCAAACTTCTCAACTTTATCTTCATAGCTGTCACAATATTGTAGTCTTTAATTTGAAATCTTGGTTGAATTTCAAGAAGTTTTCAGTCTTTACTGTAAAGAAATTTAAGATGAATAAATCAAAGAAAACTCCAAAATGTTTTAAGGAGAAAATTATGTACTTTTTTTTTTTTTTTGGTTAAAAAGATAACAGGCAAAAGTTTATGAGGAGCTTGTTTGTAATATATCATTGTTTTCTAATCTCCTAGATTTTTATGGTCCATATTCAAAGAAATTTGGCTTATCAAAGCCAATTTTATATTATATAATTAAATGTCTTAATAACTGGCTACCTAAAGGGGCATTTCCTAGTGCCTGCCAACATTAGAACAAAATTGATTAACTTTGTAAAGGAACCCTTCCTGGTTAACCTGAATCCCTTGGCTAGTAAAAATGGCCTTGTATCATCCATAGCTGTTAAACCACAGCCTCAGATTCCATGCAGCTCTGCATAATTTGTGGACAAAGGAAAAGCATCTCTTCTTTTGTTATAATGCCTATTAGCTCATAGTATGCTCTTGAGTCCTTCTGTCACCTCTTAACCTAAGAAGTTAATGAAGTTAGATTTTATCTAACATATCTGGGAAGAGCTGTTAATTTGACATTGTCTTTGAGTCAGTTACCACTTTAAGATAACCTAGTAAGCTAACCTAGCAAACAACGGGAAGTATTCCTTTGGTAGTACTTGTTCTTTGTTTGCATTAGTGAATAACGAAGTCTAGAAAGAATTGTTTTAAATTGCTTTATTTACAGTTACAATAATTTTATTTCTTTGAGAACATTTGAATCTCAAAACAAAAAATTTCTTCAGTGTTTTAATACATCACATCCAGGTATTGTATTTACTTTTTTCATTAATGAGCAGATTTGAGAGAGATCTGTAATTGTCAGGGGGCACTGCTGTTACCTTATTTCAGTTAATTTGGTTAAGCCATTATGCTTCCTCCTCAGGAAATTAAAAGTAGTTTAGTGTCAGTTTAATAGATCTTTCTTTGGTCTGAGCAAGTTTGGGATTTCTACTACTTAATTGTTTTTTGATCCCTAGCTCTAAGTCATTGCACAGTGGGATGGGTTTAGAATATTGAACATCTAGCTTGATGTCTTAAACAAATAAGACATTTTATTTTTACCTATTTTCATATCTGTAGTTTATTTTCAAAGGGTCTACAATGTGTATTACCCATTGAAAACATTTTTTTTCAACTTCTATGAGGAAAATTATGTACACATAAAGTAATATCTTCTTTTGTAATATGGGTGGTCTTTCAGAAATGGTTACCCAAAAGATGTTTTTAGCTGGGTGTGGTAGTGTATACCTGTGGGCTCAACTACTTGAGAAGCCAAGGCAGGAGCATCCCTTACGCCCAGGAGTTTGAGGCCTAGCAACATAGCAAGACCCACCACACACACATACAAACACACACAGGCATACACACAAACATGAAAGAAGAAGAAGGTTTTCTTATGAACTAATTTTGTATGTGTGTGTATGTGTGTGTATGTGATTATTACTGCAGGCCTTCATGGGATTTATCTTAACATCCTTGGAGAGAATAGCAAACATCTGTGATACATATTTTCTGTGGGAGTAGCATTTAGGATAGTTATTGTTTACTACTTATCATATAAATTGATATTTTGTGTAATTAGGGATTGCTATATAAAAATAACTTGTATTAATATTGCATTATTATAGCACATTTTTAATCTATTAAAAAGTAGTAGATTTTAAGTCCATAATGCTTCATGTATTGTTTATTCTTGTGGTTTTATTTTACTTTAGGAATGTATTCTTCATTGCCTGTTGAAGTTCCTCTGAATCATAAACGATTTGTTTGTGATCTAACCCAAGCTGATCGTCTTGCCCTTTATGATTTTGTCGTCGAAGAGACAAAGAAAAAGCGCTCTGATTCTCAAATCATTGAAAATGATAGTGATCTCTTTGTAGACTTGGCTGCCAAAGTGAATCAAGGTTTGAGATGAATATCATACTTTACATTTCAGTTTGCCACCCCCTCCTATAAATCCTATGATTGTTATTAATCTGATTTTATTATCATGCCACTTTGAGTTGGAGCAAGGTGGATTTTTATCATGTGGTACTGGAAAATGTCAAATATATTTACTTAGTAGATAAAGTTTTCCTGTGACTGAAGATATTAAGCATATCTTCCTTCTGTAAGTTACTTAAACACAGTTACTAAACTGTGCTCTTACTTTAATCTCTGGCTCTAAGCACTCTTATGTTCAATTAAAGGTTAGAAAAGAGGAATGATATAAAACAGCCCATATATCTATATATTGCAGAATTTATAGGGGTTTTGTGCTCTACCTTGAAACATGATGAAATATAAGATAATGATGGGCACAGTGGTGCATCTCAGCTAACTGGGAATCTGAGGCAGGAGTACCATGAATTGAGACCAGCCTGGATAACTTAGATCCTATCTCAAAACAAACAAAAAAAAGGGGTGGAGATGTGGAAATGTAGCTAGTGGTAGATCACTTGCCTAAGCATGTATGAGGCCCTGAGTTTGATCCCAGTAATTTAAAGAAAAAAAATACACATATTCATCCATATATATATATATATATATATATATATATATATACACACACACATACATACATACACACACACACACACAAACACGCACACACACATATGAATGGATGAGATTGTGGTGTTCCTACCTGCTAATTCTTACAAATTTAAAAGCTCTTAATGATATAATTATTTTATTTTATCCTTTCATTAGATAATAGTCGAAAAAGTCCAAAATCTTACCTTGAAATCCTGGCAGAAGTGAGAGATTATAAAAGAAGACGCCAGTCCTATAGAGCTAAGAATGTTCACATAACCAAGAAATCATATACTGAGGTAAGTTTCATATAATATAGAAAGCTTTGTTGAGAAGAAAAACTTCTTTTGAATGGTTTTCTAAATCTGTTCTATGGATTTCCTCAATTTCTTGGAGGTTTTCTGAAAGAAAGCATCTTCTGGGTGACCACAATTAATGTGTATTTGCCCTGTTAATTTCAGACCCACCTTTTACCAGGCAAAGGCTTTTTCAGGATACCTAAGTAAATAAATAGATATGTAAACAAATAAAGAGGTGGTGTAATCTCAAAAAGTAGCTGCATTTAAGAAAGTAGTATTATACCATGATAAGAGAAGGAATTTTGGTATTCCATGGACCTTGACTTCAGTTTTGATTCTGCTGTTTATTATTGACTTTGTGAGTTGTACAAGTTATTTGAGCTTTTTAGATTCAATTTTTTTTCATTTTGTAATAGTACAAACTTTGCAGGGTTATGAGAATTGAGATGATGCACAAGAACACAAATTTCTCAATATTAGCTATTATCTTTTTTTTAAAACAAATCTTAATGTGCTTTTACATACTTATTAAATATATGGGTTTAAGAGTGTCTTGGTATAAATTAATGAATCAGTCTGATGTGTATCTAGATTTATTTTCAGATGTCATGAAATGAGTAGAGTTTATGAATATTTTGGGCACATGAATTGTATTGCCCAGACTCTACAAATATTTTCCTCATGAAATCCTAATTTCTTTATTATTCTTTATCAAAGAGTTCTTCTTTACAGAGACCTATAATCTGACCTCATTTTTACTGGTGTATTACAGTTGTACATAATGGTGGCATTTGTTGTAACATATCCATGCATGCACACAATACAGCAACATAATTTGGCCAGTATCATTCCCTGTGTTTCCCTTTCCTCCTCCCTCCTCCTTTTTGCCTTTCCTCTACTCTGCTGGTCTCCTTTTGATATTCATGAGATCCCCCTCTCCTGTGTTCTTTTCCTTTTTCCTCTCTGGTTTCCACCTATGAAACAAAACACATGACCCTTGACTTTTTGAGTTTGGCTTATTTCGTTTAATATAATGGTTTCTGGTTCTATTTGTTTTCCTGCAAATGATGTAATTTCATGTTTCTTTATGGCTCAGTAAAACTCCATTGTGTATATATACTACATCTTCTTTATCCATTTATCCTTTGATGGACACCTAGGTAGGTTCCAAAGTTTGGCTCTTGTGAATTGGGTATGCATGTGTTGCTATAGTATGATGGCTTTATCTTGAGGACAGGCACCAAGGAGTGGTGTAACTATCTGGCCTCATTTTATCAAGCAGTTTTTTTGTTTTGTTTTTGTTTTATTTTTGCTATCTCTTAAGCAATGTCTGATTATACATATTTATTTTTACTTCCAGGTCTTAATACATGTTGTTTAATCACCTAAAATGCTCTTTGTTTTTTGCCTTCTTAAATCTTGATTACTGTGTGAACCACCATTTCCATAAAGTGCTGGTTGACTTTGAGCAATCACTGGTTTATCATACTAATAGTCTATTTATTTATTTGTTCTTTTTAGTTATACATGACAGTAGAATGTATTTTTACATATTATACATACATGGAAGATAACTTCCCAGTCTTGTGGTTGTACTAACATTCTGTACCACACAGCTCAGCACTGAATTTTATGCTGTTCTTTTTTGTCACTAGAGATGTGTTTTAGACTTCACCTCTTCTAGTAGAGGTCTTGGATCATGTTATACTACCTTGGTGATTCAAATACTTGGTGATACATCCATTGTTTCTTCTCTCAGGATCTTTCGATCATGTCGCTGTTGATTTCTTTACAGTTTCCTGGTTAGCCTTGTATTATGGGAATATTTAAACATATGCTGAAGTGAATGGCATAGCCTAAGGAACCTTATGTACCCATCACCGAACTTCAGCAATTACCAACATATGGCCCTCGTGTTTTATTTATCCCCCAATTCACTGTTCACCTCCTGCTGCACTCAGTAGTTTTGAAAGTAGAACCCAGATATTTTTCATCTGTAAATACTCGAATTTATAAATCTTTCAGTGATTTGTTTTTATCTCTGGTCATTCCTAGCTTCATTCATGTCCTACATATTTTTTATTTGCTCTGATTAGAATCTGAATTTTGACAAATTACAGCAAAAAATCACATGCTAACAGTTACTATTACATACTGTATTTTTGCCACTGCTCTGGGGTATGTAAAAATGAATGGCCCATAGATCCCACTCTAAAGGAGCTTATAATATAGCAAGTGAAATAGACATTTCAAAATACAGATAGTGTTAAGTGCTAAAAATAAAGGTGAAATCAAAGTGTATGAAGGAAAGAGTGATTTTTCTTAAAAGCTAAGGTTGGTATGAGTGTCAGAGAAGGTGCATTTGAGGAGAAGGAATAAGCAAACCTGTGCTAGATGGGTTCTGTGGATGCAGTGGGCTTCAAGGAGCTCATATGGATTTAGCAGACAAGGAAACTTGTAGGGCTGTTAAGAAAGTGCTAGAGCTTGAATTTGACTACAAGTCTGTGTCACCTTGTTAACCTACCGGGTTAGACTGGGGCTTGTCTTAGGTTATACACAGGAGAATACAGTGGGAGGAGAAGTGGTGATAGGGATTTCCCAGATGGAAGCACTAGCATTACTAAATGCAAGTAAAGTTCAAGAGTTTTTCAGAGATCCGTTAGTAATGCGGTGTAGCCAGAGCTTAGGGCTTCTGAGGAATTATCCAGTATGAGGCAAGGATGGCTTCTACTGTGTGATATAGTGAAATCATGGAGGCTTTCAAGGCCTTGTAAGGAAATTGGACATTGTCCTGTTTTTCTTTGAAAGCTGTTAATAAAAAGTTTTCCTAAAGTGGGAGAAATGCAGTCAGGTCAGAACTATAGTGTTTGTTTCTGAGATTGCCTGGTCCCCTATACCTTTTTACTTAAAACCTTTCCTAATTAGGAATGAGAGACAGGTCCACTTCTAGTTTAGTTTTATCTTTGCCTCTCCCCCGACTACTCTTGAGCTTGATGGTGTGGGTAAACTAGAAAAAAAAAAAAAAAAAAAAACCAACTTTCAAATGGTTCTTTTTCTTAGGGGGTTGGGGGTTGCTAACTGGGGATTGAACTCAGGGGCACTCAACCACTGAGCCATATCCCCAGCCCTTTTTTGTATTTTTATTTGGAAACAGGGTCTTAGTGAGTTGCTTAGTGCTTCATGTTGCTGAGGCTGACTTTGAACTCAATCCTTATGCCTCAGCTTCCACCAAATGATTCTTAAAAGTAAGAGATTTAGGGGCTGGGGTTGTGGCTTGGGGGTAGATTGTTTGCCTAGCAAGCACTGGGTTTGATCCTCAGCACCCCATAAAAATAAATAAATAAAATAAAATAAAGGTATTTTGTCCACAATTAAAAATATTTTTTTTTTAAAGTAAGAATTTATATTCTGACTGGAAAGGTATCTGTGACAAAACAGTAATGTCTTATATTTGTCTATCTTGACTTAACTGGAAGGCCTAAAAATTATTTGTAAATATTCTCTAACATACAGATAAGGTACAAACAACTCCTATATTTTTTTTTCTTTGCACAGATTACCCATTGTTAACATTTGGGCCCTGTATTTCTCATTTGAACTGCTCTTTTTCTTTCTGTGCATTTTCTACCTTCTCCATCTTTATCTGTATGCCCCTTTTTTTTTTTTTTTAATGAAAGATTTAAGGGTAAGTTTCATCCATTATGGTCCTTTATCCCTAAATTCTTAATATGTATTTCCTAAGAATAAGGCTATTTTGTTACATATTCATAGTTATCAGCTTCAAATTTAGCATTGAAATAATACTTCCATCTGTCATTCATAATCCAGTTCAACAGTGCCCTTTTTATATTCTCTAAAATGCATTCATTTCATAGTCTATTATATCATAGCTCTTAGTAAATTTTCTGTTCATCATTAGCAGAGCTTTTTCAGGCTTTTTGCACTTAATTTTTTTTTTTTTTTTTGGTGGCGGTGTTGGGATTGAACTCAGGGCCATGTACAAGCTAGGCAGGTGCTCTAGTACTGAGCCACATCCCCAGCCCTAGATGTAATTTTTATAACAATATTCTTATCTGATATTTGGTGTTTTCATCTCCCAAGGTGATTCGGGATGTGATAAATGTGCACATGGAAGAACTCAGTAACCATTGGCAGGAAGAACAGGAAAAAGCAGAAGATGATGCTGAAAAGTATGTCATTATCTTTATTGGTAAAAAAATAATTTTTTTTTTTTTTTTTTTATGGCTTAAACCCAGGGCCTTGCACATGCTAGGCAAATGCTCTGTCATGGAGCTGTACTCCCAATCCTAAAATATTATGTTTTTAATCTTTTACTAATAATTATTATGTTTTAGTATTTTCAAGACCCTTAGTAGCATACTATAAATCATTAAAATGCTCGTTTTTAAATGTCAGTTCTCAGAATCATACTAGAATCATTTTATGACATTGCCTATCTTGGTGAGGACAGTTATGATGAAACAACCACATTAGTAAAATAGTTAAACAATAAAGCATATTATAGCAGCTATTTTTGACTATTCTCTTATATGGAATATAAGATTATGCATATTTAGCCCTCATCTGTCATTGGTGTGATGTGAAATATTGCACTTTAGATTGGTGTGTGTGTGTGTGTGCTGGGGAGATGAGTGGTAAAACGAGCTGATTGCTGTTCCTCTCTGTTTCAGAAATGAAGAAAGGCGATCAGCTTCAGTAGACTCGCGGCAGTCTGGTGGAAGCTACTTGGATACTGAGAGTTCACGACATAGAAGGGATCGGAGTAGGAGCCCACATAAAAGAAAAAGAAATAAAGATAAGGATAAAAACTCTGAGTCAAGGAGAAGGAAAGAGAGGTGAGTCTAAAACTCTGTAGCATCTAACATTTGTCTTCTGCTTGTTCCTTACTATCTTTCTTTCTTTGTTCTTTCTTATTCTTCTTCTTGCCAATTCCTTAGTTGAAGGGTGTGTAGAGTTGGAGAAAAGGGGCTAAACCTTAACATTAGTTCATTTTGGCCTTATTGGTATGATTTTGATAGCTGAGAACAATACATATTAATGCTAAAATAATAAATTTAGCCAGACATGTTGGCACATGTCTGTAATCCCAGATACTCAGGAGGTAGAGGCAGGAGGATCACAAGTTTGAGGCCAACCTGGGCAACTTAGCTAGACTCTGTCTCAAATAAAAAGTGAAAAAAGGCCGGAGATATTGCTCAGTGGTAGAGCCCTCTTGAGTTTAGTCCTCAGTACCCACCCCACCACACAAATTAAATCAGTTGTGGTCTACTTATTGCCCAGCTGCTTACGAGGCATCCATCTAGATTTTATATTCATCCAGGCTATGTAAACTTTTTTCCCTCAGTCTGCACCTCTTTCCCCAATATTCCTGTTCTCATTAGTGGATGACCCTCATCTGTTCACCTAAGCCAGAAATCAAGCAGTCATCTTAGATACACCTTCCTTATTCTTTACCATCTCCGTCAGTTCTAAATTACTGTCAGTTCTACCTGAAGGTGCCTCATATGTGTGAAGATAGGACTCGGTCGCTGTTGCTGTCTATCTAGAAAATTATGGTAGTTTTCTTAACTGTTCTACTTATCTGTAAACTTACTGATATGAATCCATCCCTGCTCCTCTGTCAGAGTGAATATTTACCTCTTACAGCTCTTGAAGGGCAAAATTCAGGAGTCAGATAAAGGAAATCAGGAACTCTGGTGGCTCTCACCAGCTGCAGGATCAGGACTCCTGCTACTTCTTGTATTGTGACCCTATGGAATGTGGAATTTGGGCCCTGGCAGCCTACATAACTTAGGGCCCCTCATCATATCTATGCCTTTTCACCTTGTATCCTGCTGCTTGATTTGATTTTAAAGCCCATTTGCTAAATTCTTCCTTTTTCTTTAAAAGCAGCTCTGTCATCTCCTGAAGGTTTTCGTTCTCATTGAAGCGGAGCCAGTTATCATTTGCATTTTGCCACCACCTTCCCTAGCACAGACTTGTGTTTGAACTTAATGGTCTTTACTTTTCCTACTGTACTCCGAGCTTCTTGAAGGCAGAGTCCATGTCTTATTTGGTTTTATATTAAAGCACAGTGTTTTTCAAATAATAGGTTTTCAAATGATATCCTGTCTCTTCAGGGCCATTGGTAGCTTTCTGTATTGGTAATTTTGCTTATTTTACCATCATCCAGTTCATAGGTTTAGAGATAGCTAGGATTTAGTCCTCTTTTGATTCATGTGACATAATTTATGCAAACACAAATTAACTTGGTTACCTATCAGAAATTGTGCTCTTTCATTTCTTTTAAATTTGTTAGTGCTTCTTTTATGTAAGTAATTTTTAATATCTGTATTCAATCTCTGTAGACTTAAATACATTAGAAGTCCTCTAAATCTAAGCATGAAATAATTTTCCTTTATAGAAGATAAATTGAGTATTAGCAGGAAACACTTCCTATTAGGGCAAGACTGATCTTTGATATCCACCCTTGAGTTTACACAGGAGTCAGAAAAAGGAAATCAGGAACTTTGGGGGACATTTTTTTTTTCTTTCTTTTGGTCATTCTAAGAATTGAAATCAGGGCCTCATGGCTTGCTAGGCAAATGTTCTACCACTTAGCTACATCCCCAGCCCCCCCCCCCCCCTTTTATTAAATTTTGAGACAGTGGTTTTCACTAAGTTGCCAGGTAGGGCCTCAAACTCATTTTTAAAGTCTTTCTCCAACTTTAATGTTCTATTGAGAATGAATCTCTGGTTGTCTACCATATCATATACATATAAATCTGAGGGTGAACTTCTATACGTGAAACCTAAGAGTAGATCTGGTCCAAATCCAATCAACCTGTCAGTTACTCATTCAAATAATAAGGTGTCGTTTCTATAGTCCATTTCTTTTTAAAGTTTATTTTAGAGCCGGAACTTTAAAGCATAAATCCATTTTTCTTATCCCTATTTCAGTCTCTTGGTTTTAATCATTGATTTGCCCTATTTACTCTCTCAAAATTACTGTTTAGCTCTAAATGTGTGTTTTAACTTGTCATGGTTTATGTATGATGAAAGAACGTTATTATTTTAAAGCTCTGATATATAAGTGTATGTCATTTATAATACTTTATTTTCATACTTCTTTCATTTCAGGGATGGGGAAAGACATCATAGTCATAAAAGAAGAAAGCAAAAAATATAAACGAAATGTTTGTGCATGTATTAATTATGTATGTCATTATAACCAGTGTGCTGATATTTTAGTTGTCATTGCTTTGCATAGGAGAATGTGTTTATATGATCTTTTCAATAAATACTTATGCTTCAAACAGTGAGTTTTCTATTACACCCTACAACTGTGTTTTCCTTATATTTTAATAGATGGGTTGCTTCTTATTATTGATTTATTCTTTTTGATAATTTATGTTATAAAAATCTTTTTTTAAAAAGCAGTACTTAAAATATATAAATTATATGTTAATACATTCTCATAGTAAAAAATATTAAACCTTACCAATAAGGCTAAAGGTGCCTTAGAACAACATCTATTTATTTCCCTGTTTCCTCCCTGGAAATAAACTACTCTTTATCACTACGTTGGTGAAGTATAGTAGGGAAAAACAATGTAAATATCTGTTGGAAGGGGAATGGCCTAGCTAAATAAAACTATGGTATGTCATAGAATAGATAAACTACATTGCCGTAAAAGAAATAACCTAGATCTGTATTAATGTGGACAGATCTCAGAAACAATGCTGTATGAAAAGATATATGTATATATTTTTTTCACATATATACACATACATATATTTACATGTATATATCTACAAAATTTCCTTTGGCTGTAATGTATGTGAATATATTTTTAAAGGTTCAGAAGAATTCATTCCAAACTCACAACAGTGACTGGGGAAGGAGATACAGGTGAGAGAGATTAGAGGTGGAAACCAGGATTTGGAGGGTAATCAAAGGAAACCTGAGCTTTAGCTATAATAATTTTTTTTTCAAAGTAAGAACGTATTCATGTTTCACTTGTTAATTAGAGTTATGCTATTATTTTGTCTTGTAAATCAGCTGTATTGAGATACTGTGTGCATACATTAAAATGCATTCATTTGATTGAGTTTTGACAAATTTGTATTCCTGTGTTACCATCATCACAATCAAGATGTCGAGTAATCTCTTGTCCCCCAAAGTTGTCTTCTGTCCCTTTTCCCACTCAGTTCCTCTGCTTGTAGCACTGGGCAACAAAAGAGCTGCTTTTTGTTCCACTGGTTAGATGTATCTTTTCTGGAATTCATGTGAGGAATACTGCAATATGTACTCTGCCTTCTTCCACTGCACAGATTTTTTAGATTGATCCTGTTGTGTGCATCAGTAATCCATTCCTTTTAGTAAGTTGTATTATATATTAGAACATTCTGGTGAAACTTTGCAGCTCAAGTCTAAGTGGCAACAGTCTGAATGTTATAAACCCAGGTTAAAGATTTCATTTCCAAATAGAAATGACACCTTACTATTTGAATGAGTAACTGACACGTTGATTGGATTTGGACCAGATCCACTGTTAGGTTTCAGGTGTAGAAGAGCACCCTCAGATTTATAAATCAGAAATCAATAGGTCACTTGCCAATATGTAGTTCTGTTATTGCCATCGTACTTAATTTCTAAAGATACAACAGTCAGATTTTAAAGTCTTGAAAGCAAGGATTTAGGACCCTTTTTTTGATATGGTAATGTTAAGGGCATATAAAATTCTAATGTGAAAATACTATTATCACCATTTTGGAAATGAGAAACCAAAGGCTCAGATATACCTTGCTCTAATTCTCAGAAAAAGTGGTGGAGCCAATCTTCCAATCCAGCATCCTGCTCCAGGGGCCACACTCGATTTTTACCCCTACACATTTGTTTATATATACATTTGTATGTGTGTGTGTGTGTGTGTGTGTGTGTGTATATATATATATTTAGTTGTACGTGGGTACAATATTATTTTTATTTTTATGTGGTTGAACCCAGTGCCTCATGCATGCTAGGCAAGCGCTGTTCCACTGAGCCACAACCCTAGCCCCTTGCTTATGTATTGCTTGAAAGTAAACTGTGAATCCCCAAGGTGCTTAGCATAGTTTCTTAAATGATGTAAGTGACCGTTATGTATGAGGCGGTTAAGACCTTAGAGCCACTTAGCTATTTCCCCAATTATACAAGTAATACAACAAACATTAGAAGATTAGTGCTCTTAACCTCTATATAAATGTTTATGAACTGCGAACCCCTTTAAAATAGAGTAACATGCTAATCTTTGCCATTTCATAGGAGTTCTAATGTTCACCATAGTTCCTTGAACTACTATATAAAATTCAAAATATTAAATGTTTTACACCCACCATTTTGTTACACTGATCAACAAATGAACTTGAACTCGCACTGGATCTTGGTACCACTTAGTTATACTCCAAAGTTGATAGCATCAATCAACGTTAGGTAGCCAAATTCCACAATGACCCAAAAAACAAGATCTCACACACATCCTAAAATTAAGACTGCTTGATAAATGCCAGATTCTTGGAGGAATCTCAGACAACATATGAAATTTAAATCAACTGAGAAAAAATCTAAGATCTGCTTCCTACTCCCCTCCTCCATAGCCAACTCCTCCTCCTTATCCCTATTAAGAGGAGAAGGAGATATGGGTTTAGTTTCATTCTGCCATCAGCAGTGTTTAAGCTGAATCATCAGGGGAGGCGTTTATGAGCATAAAGAAATTAAACTTCTCAAATATTGAGACTGTAATTTAGATATAGGCCACATGGTTGTGCAGAGCCCAACTCACTCATTGTGGTCATCATCCCTCCAGTTTTTAAATTAGATCAGTCATCTCCAAGTATTTGCAGTTTTTGAGTATGGCTGATTGAGATTTAATCTCAAACACTTGCATGAGAACTAGTCATCAAATGGCAAATAGTTCTAAGTTGACATTGGAAAATAATTTTAAAGTTTGTATTCTTTTTGTTATACATGACAGTAGAATCCATTTTGACATATTTATACAAACAGACTATTTTATTCTAATTAGGATCCCAGTCTTGTGAATGTACATGACGGTGAGATTCTCTATGGTGTCTTCATATGTATACATAGGAAAATTATGTCAGATTCATTCCACTGTCTTTCCTGTTTTCATCCCTTCTCCCTTCCTTTCATTCTCCTTTGTTTAATCCACTGACTTCTAGTCTCCTCTTGTTGTGGGTTAGCTTCTACATATTAGAATATTTGACCTTTGGTTTTTGGATTTGGCTTAGCATGATAGTCTCTAGATCCACTCATTTACTGGTGAATGTCATAAAGTCATTCTTTATGGCTAAGTAATAGTCACATTGTGTATTGCCGCAGTCCGGCTGGGCACACAATCACGAGCCACCACACAGCTTGTAGATTCAAACAGCAACTCTTTATTCCCGAACTCACACCAGCCGTCTACAATCACATTCTGGGGAAATCCACGTTCTCTTCCCAAATCCACCTCCACTGGGCTTCTATCTCCAAAATATACTGTCTGAATCCCGTGAGAACTCAAGGGGAACTCAGGCAGCAGGATACGCCCTATTCCCAGCAGGAATAATCTTAAACCTTAAACCTGGAACCTAAACTGGGAACGCCCTAAACAGGATTATCTTAAAACCGGGAACACCCTAATCTGCCTTGGTCCTTGAGCAAGGTCACCTACATTCAATGTCACTGCAACATGTCAGCAACATGGGGTACGCTGGCAAGGAAATTGTCATACCTACTTGGCTAATGGCTCCCAGCAGTGTATCTACACCATTATTTCTTTATCCATTCACCTATTGATGGGCATCTAGGTTGGTTCCATAGCTTAGCTATTGCAAATTGTGCTGTTCTAAACATTGATGTGGTTGTGTCACTGTAGTACATTGATTTTAAGTCCTTTGGGTAAGTATATTACCGAAGAATGATATAATTGGATCAAATGGTGGTTCAATTTCTAGTTTCTGGGGAATCTCCATACTGCTTTCTATAGTGTTTGCAACAATTTGCAGTCCCACCAGCAATGTATGAGTGTAACTTTTTCCCTCACATCCTCGACAATATTTATTGTTACTTGTATTCTTTTTTTTTTAGAGAGAGAGAATTTTTTTTTTAATATTTATTTTTTAGTTTTTGGCGGACACAACATCTTCGTTGGTATATGGTGCTGAGGATCGAACCCGGGCCACACGCATGCCAGGCGAGCGCGCTACCGCTTGAGCCACATCCCCAGCCCCGGTGCAATGCTATTCTAGAGTCCATATTGACAATAGGGTTTACGACCTGGATGTTGGATGGCGTAACCATCATTAAGGATCCATTTGTACAATGAGTAAAGTCCTACATAATCTGAGGTTAGATCAGAACAATCCATGTTGGTTTATATGAATCCAATATTTCTCCTAGTACAACAGAACAAGAGACATAAGGCTTGCTTGTAAGAGCACCCTGAATTTAATGGCTGGTATAATTTACAATCTAATACATAACTATATGCCCTGACTCTAAAAAAAGCTTGTTAAAATGACTGATCCCCTTAATGGGCTAACATTTTATAATCCAATATTCAACTTCTCTTCCTAACAACAGGTTCACAGTTAATCTACTTATTATCCCTATTTTTCTTATCATAGTGTTATTAGCACTACTTGAATAAAATGCTTTGGATTATATGCAACTTCCTAAAGGTTCCAACTATGTTAAAAGTTATAATATTATCATTGTTTATTCTAGGAACTCTCATAATTTTATTTATATATTTATTCATTTTTGGTACCGGGAATGAGATCCAATGGTGCTCTACCACAGAGTTACATCCCCAAGACGTTATAATTTTTTTTTATTTTGAGACAGTCTTTTTTAAATTGCTTAGGACTTGCTAAATTGCTGAGTCTGGCCTTAAATTTTTGCTTCTCCATCCTCAGCTTCCTGAATTGGTAGGATTATAGACATGAGCCACTATACCCAGTGGGACTCTCATAATTTTAATTATCCCTTATCTTTAGCCACCGTTATACCAATCATTTCATCAACACTTGCATTCTGTGAAGCTGCTGTGGGCCTAGCATTACTGAACAGTGTGTAACACATACAGCATAGACCACATGTAAAACTTAAGCTTCCTCCAATGCTGAAAGTTATCATACCCATAATTACATTTTCATCAGTAAGATGATACTCTAAAAATTCTATAAACTGAATCAGTATATAGGCTACCAATTAGTTTCATCAACTTATTTCTCTTAAACCAATCTGGCAAAAATAGCCTAAATTTTTCATTTTTTTCTCCAACTCACTATGAGCACCACTTTTAAAATTAATAACCAACTCTTTCTCCAAGCAATTACAGTAAGTACCATATTTCCAAAACATCAGATACAGAAAAACTACATATCTACATATTAATTTTCTACAAATATGCTTAGTCATGGCATTTACTGTCAGAAAACTAGTTCTAGTCTATATTCTTTTTGAGGTGACTCTAATTCCAACTCTAATTATTATCACCCAATGAGGAAACCAAGCTGAATAATTAAGTGCAAGGCTTTATTTCCTGTTCTATATGATGATTGTCTCTTTACCTGTACTGATAGCATTATTCTATGTTCAACACTCTACAGGTTCATTTAATTTTTTTAATAACCTACTACAGAATTACCAAGCTCCTTATGTAAAGGCCTTCTATGATTGGCAAATTTAATAGCATTCACAGTAAAGATATCCCTTTACAGACCCTGCTTCTGTTAACCAAAAGCACACATAGAAGCTGCAGTTTCTGGATCTACAGACTTGCTGCTGTGTTACCAAGACTAGGAGGCTATAGTAGAATAAGCACTACTGTAATTTCAAATCCATTAATACAATGTATACCCTATCCATTTCTAATATAATTCCTATGGAGAATCACCAAATACTACAAATAACAAACTCTATTTACTTGAAAGAGCCTTAAAAATTGCTCATCACAAATTTATCCACATCATATAGCACTAGTAATTGTGGCCACTCTTATCCAAAACCGCAAAGTTTTATTGGAGTCACAGTCCTAATCATCCCACAGCCTCACATCAT